GAGAAGTGTGTGTTCATCTGAGCTGCCCATTTCTGGATTGGGTCTTTGAATTTGGGGAGGCTGATTTTTTTTAATGCTTTGTATGTTCTAGATAGAAGACCTTCGTCCATGGGACAGTCAGCTAAGATTTTTTCCCAATTTGTGGGTTTTTTTTTTTTACTCTGCTGGTGATTTCTTTAGGTGAGGGCGGTGATTTTTAGAATTGCATTTCTCATGCTGCAGCAGAACTGGCATCATCGCAATTCACTTGTCCACCTACCCTTTGATAGACATTTGCATTGTACTTGAAGGAAGTTTAGGGCTATGTTGAGTACAACTAGCAAAAACATTTTTGTACACATCTTTCTCTGGCTTTCCTTTCCTACATGGAGGGCTATCACCTCCCCCTGGCCTTTTCTAGTCAATGAACATGATTTCAGAGGAAAACAAAAAACTAGAGTCAGAAGTCCATGGTTTACTTTAGAATATAAACATGATTTTTATTATTCTGACATTGGTTTGAACAGAGCAAAGGGTTCCTAAAAACTCAGTAAGCATCTGTGGATATATTTGGTCAAATCTGAGACAGGAGCACAAGCTTTCAGCATAACTATCCGTCAACCACCACATGAATGACTAGCATGGGAACTAGGAATAAGAGGGTGTCCTTGAACTGCTCAGAGAAAGCATTAGGTGAGTAATACGATTTAAAGTGTAAGTAGTTTAACTAAATTAAGAAACGATTCAGAGTGTGGTTAGTAGCAGGAGAGGGACCAACGGGAGAGAGAACTCAGGGGTTGCAGGAACGTCCACTTGGCTCTCTGTCTTCCAGCACGTCTCACTGGTTCCCGCTGGGCCATTCAAGAGCTCCCCTCCAGGTCCCTGATGTAGTCCTGGACCCAGGGGTCGCTGGGATTGGCACAGATGTGCCGGCCTTTTTTCGTGAGAAAGCTATGAGGGGAGCAGGAGTATACAGACAATGAGTGAGGGCATCTTTACTACCTGTGGCCCCTTCTATTTCATGCCTAGGGGCAGCTCAAGATGAATCCATTTTTGTAAGAAATCATCCGTTTAGATCTTGGGTCTCCCAGGCTTTCCCTGGGTGTTTTGTGGAGATCCCCTCAAACCATTTCCTTCCTGCTGTCTCAGTCTCTCTTCTCTTCCCTTTGCTTCCTAGAAGCTCCCCCACTGACTCCCTGCAGGCCCCAGCCACTGTCAAGTTATCACCCTGTGTGTACCTGAGTCCTGTACGCACAACAGGCCTGCAGAAGGCTTCTTATCCAGGGGTGGTGCACCTGAGAACTACTTCCTCCTCCCCTCCTGCTGGTGCCTGCTCCCCATTCTGTGTCTCCCTAGGGGTAAGGAAGAGCACTGGTACTTACATGACAGCATCCATGGAGCATGTGCTGTCGGTTTTATAATAGTATACCACACGATTTCGGGGGATCTGACGGGAGATGAAGGAGAAGCAGCATTCAGATGGAAGGTGAGCCTTATCTGAGTAAGGAAACAAGGGTAACAGGAGTTGTCAAAACAGGCAAGCTGGAGAGGACCTGAGAAAGTGGGGAGACCGCATAGCTCAGAGGCTGAGGGGAAAGGCAACCAGAAATAATTTGGCCTTTTGTTTCTTCTTAATTTCCTTAGTCTTGTTTTGGTTTTTATTGTTCCAGTTTGGTCCTTATCTTACTCTACTGGAAACGAAGCTCTCCAGATAACCTACATGCTTCTCCTCGCTCTCTTTGGGGGAAATTTCTTTTCCCGAGCTCTTAAATCATGAGATGGCTGAGAAAAGTAGGGACATCTCTTCTCAGTTACCCAAGAGGTTGAAATTTTAGGGCCTATTGAGGCAATTCTAAAACTTACCAGAGCCAATGGGAACTAAATACACAGACCTGGATTCTCCCTCTTGGTAATAGCCCAGTAAATTAGATTGCAAAGTTCTCCTATGACAGGGATAAAACCTCCCCCAATTCCCATCCTACTGGCCCTAATGATAGACTCTATTTGAACTCTCTGAATGAAAACAAATGTGTCATCCTGAAACCCAGCTCAATACTCTCTTGTTTCACGGGGTGTCTCTCAGCTGCAATACTGGGGTGATATGGTCTGACTCCTGGCCAGGGAGCAATAGTTAAAAGTAATGGGACAGCAGACTTACCTTTTTCATGAGAGTGGAGCATCACTGTGCAGGGGAGGACCAAGAGGGCAATCATGAGGGCCTTCATGACTGACAGGCAGAGGAGTGTAGGCAGGACTGAGATGGGGCTTTGCGCTCACTACTGCTAGCCTCCTTCTAGGACTGAGCTATCTCCTTCCTTTTATGTGTGTCACTGGGCCATAAGGACATAGAAATGGCATGTGCTTAAGCAAGAAAGTTTAAGTACAGTGAGTGTAAGTCATGTGAGTTGCACAACCCAGGGTTGCCTGTGGATACTAGAGTTGGGGTATATACAAGAGTGAATCAGTGGCTCATTTGATTGGGATGTATATGGGGAAGTTGTGTCTCCTGACAGATAAACAGGAGTTGACCTCACCCAAGAATTATGCTGAGCTGTTTCCTCTTTATATGACAGATACCGCTCTGAAGTCAGGGGTCACAGCCGCCTTTGCTAGAGCAGTGTACTTTGATGGCCTTTCCAATGTGTGTGAGTGTGTTTGTGTGTCTTTCTCTATGTCGTCTAGGCTGACCTCAAACCCCTGAGTGCAAGTGATCATCCTGTCTCAGCCACCTGAGCATCTGAGACTGTAAGGCTTGCACCATAGCACCAGGCTTCACAACTGTTCTTAATTTTAGCCAGGCACAGTGGCATAATCCTGTGATCCTAGTCCTCAGGAGGCTGAGGTGGGAGGATCACCATGATGAGTGTGAGGCCAGCTGGGGCTACACAATGAGTTTAAGGCTAACCTGAACTATATAGTGAGACCCTCTCTCAAAAAACTACAATTATTCTTAATTGTAATGTAGTCAAATACATTAGCTTATTTTGTAATCCAATGGGAACTCTTTTCTCTATCCTAAGGTAACATCTATTTCTGTGTTAACTTCTGGAATCTTTATTGCTTCAGCATTGATACTTATATTTACAATCCATCTAGTATTTTTATATTTGATGCGAAGAAGGATTCAAGATTTATTTTTTGGCATAACAAATATGTGTCAGTATCACTAGCATGTTTTATTGGCAAAACCCTGACCATTAAGGAGTTAGGGAACTGGCCCGTGTGATTATGAAGGCTGACATCTATATGGGCTCAAGTCATGCCCCTGTCCTTTAATAGGCAACTGTAAAGGATTGGAGTTGGGGCTGGAAATGGCCAGAGAGACTCGTGCATAGCATCTTGTGGTGAATTATACATTCTGGGGTCCGTTGCATCCTCACAAGGTTCAGCATGTACAAGAATAACTTGATTGCTCATTTTTGGTGGCTGATTGTATGGAAGTGTTTTGCCAGTAAGAGGAGGTGAGATGTTAGTGTGGAAGCCATAAGTGCATGGAAAAATCTGTTGATTAAGACTTCCTCCCACAGAGCAGATCTGCAGTGCTCTGCTACTGCTTCTCTGACCACACGAGGTGACGTACATGGTAATGTCGCATTGTCCTGGGTAGCACAAGTCACACTTCAGCCACACGTGGGGTGCAAAAGACCATGACATCATGAAGATTAGTATTTCCAAGAAAAAACATTAACCAGTTACGGGAAGTGAAGAGTTACTGTCTGGGCTTCAGGCATAACAAGCATAGTGAGGGCAGACTTTTAGTTATGGTTTGGTTCATGAGTCACACAGTTCCTTACCATATTCCATCGCTGGGCTCAACACCGGGTTGAAGATGTGAATATGCATCAAATATGGGGCCTCTGTGTAGATCAGGAGCTCTAAGGGTCCTTATTTTTTGATTCAGGAAGCCCATGGCTAGGAAAATATTCTATGAAAATAAACTTTTTCATGGAGAAGTTTTTTGTATAAACTGTTGAATACGGTTTTCACATAATGATTAAAAACTGGAACCAGTCCAAATATGCATGATAATATTAATGTACAAAGCTGACAGCTGAATAAATTAGGCAACTCTTAAAAGTGCTGGGATGATTCGGAACAGTCTTTAATGTTAAATCCAGATAAGAAACAAATAAAAATACAAATAAGAAATTCCATGATTTTTCTGGAGCACAGTAATGTGCCCCCTTCCCCTGACAGATAGGAAGAAGTGAAAAACCACATAAACAAATAGAACCATCATAAGCCTGGAAAAAGTGCAATAAACATGAGCATGCCTGTATCCTGTAATATGATTTATGTAATCCTTTTGGGAAGAGGCCCAGAAGAGGCTATAACTGGGTCACATAGAATTTTTATTTTAAGTTTTTGGAGGCATCTGCACACTGATTTCCATTGTGGTTGCACTAGTTAATATCCACACCACTTGCAATAGATAAATCTTGGAATCCGCCTATAGGTGCATCGACAGGTGAATGAATAAAGAAAATGTGGTCTCCATACACAATAGAGCTACTAGGAAGGGTAAACTGAGGCATTCGTACCTTGAGACAATAATGTTAAGTGAAATAAATCAGACGTAGGTTAAATAGCACATGCTTTCTCTTCTATGAGAAACCCAAAGTATAAATAATTTAAGAGTAAGATAAAATGATGGGAAACAGAGATGTAAACTTTGTGGAGATGGGCAGGGGGTCTGGGGATAGAGGGAGATGAGGAAGGATAGGAGGAGGTAAAAATGATGAAGGTGTCATCTGCATATGTACTAATTCCCCAAGATTATTATCCTTATGATATATTGCAAACATATAGTAATAAAAAGGGAAAGAAAAAAAAGAGAAAATGCACTTGAAAGAAATAAATAGAAATGTCGAATGTGGTTAGGTTTGGGTAATAGAATTTGTCCTGCTGCTGGGCATGGTGGCGCACCCATAATCCCAGCACTCAGGAGGCTGAGGCAGGAGAATCATTTCCAGTTCGAGAGCAGCCTGGACTACAAAGTGAGCTCAAGGCCAGCCTGAACAGCACAGTGAGACCCTGTCTCAAAAAGACAAAAACAAAACAAAACAAGAGCAACAACAACAAAGAATTTGTCCTGCCTTCAAGGGAAAATGTTTACTCAGATTGTATCTCAGAATTCATATATGCAGCAATGGGAAGGCAAGAATGTAGAGGAAAATTTGCACATTTTTACCTGCATTTGCCCTGCCCCTTATTCAGCTTCCTCATACTAAATCAGTTTCTATTGTTGCCTTCACTTTGCATATTTAAAAAAATTGACTTTTACTACTTTTGGGGGAATAATTTATAGCTTACATTATAAATAATGTGAAAAATTAATTTGAATTTAAAACATGAGTGCCATTGGTTTTTCTGTACTCCTTTGAGGTGCTCTCCTATGCCTGTGGAGGAGACTTTGTGAAGATGCAATGGAGCCTGAGGAGTGGTAGCCCTCTTGTGATCCTGAAGTGACAGACTGCCCAAAGAAGAGAATCCAACACAAATAATAGGGGCAGGGGAGGTGCCTCAAGGAGCTAGGTCAGTGAGGACATTCTTTTTTTTTTTTTTGGTGTTTTTGAGACAGGGTCTCACTATGCAGTTCAGGCCGGCCTTGAGCTCACTTTGTAGCCCAGGCTGGTCTCGAACTCCCAAGGATTCTGCTGACTAGGTCTCCAGAGTGCTGGGATTACAGACATGTGCCACCACACCCAGCCCCATAGAGGACTTCTTGAGCTGCTAGACAAACCCAGGGAATGGTCACTTTGTCTTTAACTAAGGTAAAGGAGCAGGGCGTGGTGGGACACGCCCATAATCCCAGGACTTTGGAGGCTGAGGCTGAAGAATCATAAATTCAAGGCCATCTTGGGCTGCATAGTAAGGTCCTGTCCCAAAAAAGAAAACAAACAAAAAGAAAATGGAAGTGTTCTAGGGTTTTTGAGGAATAAGGACTTCCTTTTAAAATTTCTTTACTTTCTTAATTTCAAAGGGGTATTATTGCAAGCAGGAAGTATCTCATACCTTATTGAATTAGGAACCCCCTTTTAATTGTTACAAATGAGGTGTGAGAAATACTGTTGTGCATACAACTTTCTTCACCTGTGTGTTCCTAATATAGGACACATCCCCGGAGGAGCGCTTTTCTGATCTAAATCTTATTGTTCATACCAGGCCCCAGTTAACCCAGCCAACCCAGGGACTGGCCTCTTGCAGAGGCTCAAGGATGTCTGAGCAGTGAACCAATGTTTTACAAGCCACCCTCGTATTTGCCTTCCTCATCCTGCTGTGGCTCCATCCAGGGTGTGGCCTTAGTTTGAGTCAAGGCTCAGTGGCATTAGCACCAGCACATCCATGCTGTTGGTACAGCTGGAGAAGCTAGCAAGGGGCTCAGCTCTGAGAGAGACATGCTTTGTGTTTCGGTCTGCTCTGGTGAGAAAGCAGCGACTAAATTTGTCTCAGGGTGACACGGGCATCTCACCTCCTTGCACTGTGGAAAGCATTTCCCCATCAAGTAAGCAACGGACCCAGTCTTGCAAATTGCCTGAGCTCTCCTGGTTGATTTATTGCACAGCACAGCATCAACACCATGAGCCCCCCATCCCCCACACCCTCCCAAACTTTCATGTTCTGATGTCCTGAGGCTGCCTATAAAGACATTTCTTAGACCCTAGAAGTAGGCAGCAGCTGTGTGTCCTGAGGTCCCAGCCCTCCTTGGCCACCATCTGAATTCATTCATCCTCTGCTGCCCAGTGACATGGAGGTCCCTGTGGCTGCTCTCACTGTCCTGATCCTCACTGAGACCCTTTTCTCCCAGACCTGCTCTGCCTCACGTGAGTCTGTCCTTTGCTCTTGGGTTGCCCCTTTGTGGCCCTGGCTTGGACTACAGTGGGAAGTTTGTGGCTGAGACCTCCACATAGGGAGCTCCAGAAAGATTTTGAGACTACTGCCCAGAGGATTTTCCTTCCTAAGGGCTTTAGGAATTTTATTCATTTCTGGGAGATATAGAGGGAGAGAGTCTCACTTCACAGGAGAGAAAATGGAGGTCCACCCGGGAATATGTAAGAAGTAGAATGTGGACCCAGTTGGCTCCCTGTCCTGTGGTAGCCTTGGTTGCCTTCCCAGCCTTTCCCCCACTGAACAATCACTTGAGATCTTCCTGCCTTGTCTGTTGTAGTGGGTGCTGACACCCCGACCGCCTGCTGCTTCTTCTTTATCTCCCGGAAGATCCCGCGCAAATTCGTGGTGGACTATTATGAGACGAGCAGCCAGTGCCCCAAGGCGGCTGTCATGTAAGGCCTGGTCCCCTTGGCCACCCCTGAGGAGGGAGGGAGCCTGGGCCAAAGGGAATCTTTAGCTTCCTAAGGCCCATGAGGGCAGGAGTCCAGGGGAGACCCTGGGGTGTTTTCGGACCTGACCTGGGACCTGAAGGGAGTCCCGAAGGACCTTCTCCTGAGTGCGAGGAGGAGATGGGAGGAGGAACAGTAGGAGGCTGGCTTTCTGAGGGAGACACTTGGGGAATCTGTGAAGCTCCAAGTTAGGGGGGCAATTTATGAACATGTGGACAGGCCCTCGGTAGCCTGGGCAGAGAAGGATGTGGAGGCCCCCGGGAATCCCCGGCTGGAGGCCTCAGTGTTGCCTCATTTCCCTTCCTCCACAGCTTCCAAACCAAGAGAGGCCGGGAGATCTGTGCTCACCCCAGACACACCTGGGTCCAGGAATACATCGCCGACCTGGAGCTGAACTCCTGAGTGGCCTGGAGGCCTCCCATCTGTGGGCCGACTGGGGAGCAAACACCTGATGCAGGGTTCTGTAGGCCGCCTCTTCTGTGGCTCCCACCCCAACCCCAGCTACACTCTGGAACCCTCTTAACATTCATTTGAGTTTATATGTCTCATTTCATTTTTGTTATTTGTTTCCATTTTTAAATTGTGTTGTACAACGAATGCTTCCTCTGTCCTCTCATGATATCCTCATTGCTATCCTTTCCCCTGTCTGCAACTATTCTCACAGTGCATGCATGAATCGATGAGTGCACTTAGACATCGCCAGAAAAACTGTAGCATGCATCTCACAAATGCTTATCGAATGATGTTGTGCAGCACGGCTTCTAAGGTATGGAAGGTGGCTTATAGAAAACATAAACCAGCACTGTCTTTGCGTTGAGTCTTTGATCTTTGTTTTCCAAACGAAGAATTTACAGTTGATAGAAATACTGGAAGGAGGATAGAGGAAGATGAAAAGAGGCCGGACCCACAGAAATGGGATAAGAGTCGTACTGCAGTCATACCAGGTGTTTCCCTGGAGATGCCTCCCTGGAATGTCAAAGCCGACTCTCATCATTATACACCCACATCATAGTAGATACGGTCTAGAACAAGTTTGTACTTAAATAAATAACAACATGGTGCCAACTTATGCACATAAGTTGTTTTCTGTAAAGCTCTCCTAAATGATGGCTAACATTTGTTGAGGGCTTTCTAAAGTGCTGGGTTCTATGTTAAGTGTTTGCTTATGTTAGCAAGAGTTGAGCAAACCCTGCCAGGGAACTGGCCAGGACTTTCAACCTGGCTGTCAGCTGAGAGCCTTGCTCAGGTTCTGTGTTGTTCACAGTTCTGCTTTTGAGGGGAATATTATTCACTTCCATCTCTAGTGATCAGCGTGAGCAAAGAAAAATATAGCACAAAAGGCAGATGTGGTGATGCATGTCTGTAATCCCAGGTGTTCAGGAGGCTGAGGCAGGAGGACTACAAGTTTGAGGCTAGTCTGGGCAACTTAGTGAGACCCTGTCTCAAGATAAAATAGAAAGTGGTGGGGACGTACCTTAGTGGTAGAGTGTTTTCCTAGCGTATGCAAGGCCATGGGCTCAATCCTCAGTAGGGCCAAATACATAGTAATAATAATAATTCTTAAAAGAATATGCCTTGTGTAATATTTGATATATATTTATAAAACTTATGACTTACCTGACACGCGAATCTAACTGGGCACCCTGTATTATATCTTGCTACCCTCCTCGGAGTGAATATTTCTCAGAGAGGTGTGTATTTCCTGTGTAAAATGGTACCTAAGGATTAACTGAAGTGTGGAACAGTTCTTCCCAACCTTGAATTCACAGTAGAATCACTCAGGGGAATTTTGTAAACTCCAGTGCTGAGGCCTCACCTCCAAGTTACAAATTTAATTGGATGTAGGTGAGACCCAACAGGAGCAATTTAAAAACCGCTCAGGTGATGTTAATGCAAACCAAGTTCAGACCACTACTGGTCTACAAACATAGGCCGCTTTTTAAACGGGCTTGCTATTTCAGAGACAATGTCACTCTTCATTTTTGAAGGATTCTCAGCTATTTTTTTTTGCTTAATTTCTTAAAATTGTTAAGTAGAAACAGAAAATGTCACACACAACACCACATCTAGAATGGGAACCTCTCTTCCCCCAGCACAGAGCTGGGAGTCCTCCTTCTTTCCAACACACCCCCCCCACACACACCATCACTTCAACACACACACCCACCCACCCACCATCACTTCATTTACTTCTATCACTACATTGCCCTCTGCTGGTAGAACAGTGCTGCAGGCATGGCTGCCTCTGCAACTGGTTTCCTTTCTCTGGTGCATCCCAGCTACACCATTATCAAGAATACAAGTGGTTACTGTTGCGGTCTGTTTCACGCGTCAGCTTGATTGGTCTGAATATCCCCTAGGTAGCTGGTAAACTGTTATCTCTGGTTGAGTCTGGGAGGCCCCTCCCGAAGACATCAACACTTAACTGAAAAGATTGGATACAGATCTGCCCTCACCAATGTTGGCCGCCAATATCCCATCAATTTAGGACCCAAGGGAACAAAGAAGTGGAGGAAGGGCGAATCCATCCTCTTTCTGTGAGCTGAGGTGTGCATCTTCTCTGGCCACTGGACATTGGCGTTGCAGGTCGTTGGGCTTTCAGGCTTGGACGGAGTTGAACCATCATCTCCTGCTTTCCCTTGTAAGGGCTTTGAGCTTGAACTGAGACTTTCACTGTCAGCTACCCTGGTTCTCAGACCTTTGTTTGTTTGTTTGTTTTTCTTGCGGTACCAGGAATCAAACTCACGACCTTGCGCTTGCCAGGCAGGCGCTTTGCCGCTGAGCTGAATCCCCAACCGTTGTTTCTCAGACCTTTGTACTCAAGACTTTGGACTGAATTATATCACCGTGTCTTCTGGTTCCTCAGCTTGATGCAGATGACCATAATGGTGTCAGCCAGTGCAGTGGTTGATTGATTATGTCAACTTGAGAAGTTTAGAAGCATAATTTAACTTGGCTCAGCAATTGTCTCAGCAATTGTACACCCTAGGGTGTAGAGGAGCGCCCTAGGGTGGAGAAAAGCCACCCTAGGGTGGATCGTCTCCTTGATAATATAAAAGGGAAAATGAAGAAGGACAGAGGAGCTTCCATTGCTTTTGAGGGAGCTCCAGTCTTCACCTTCAGCTTGGACTTAGTCTCCTGGCTTCTAGTGCAGACTGTTCGGGTTCCACCTTGGATCCTTCAGCCTTCCATCGCAGCCTCATTGGCCTGCCGGTACGGACTTGCACGGAAGTGTGCAGTGAACTCCAGACCCTGGACTGATTCTTTCCATCTTCAGTGTGCAGACACGCTCTGCACGCTTCCTCGTACAACTCTCTGCCTGACCAGCGTAAGCCAATCTTGTAATTTCTTGTACATTTGTACATCTTGTGTTCTATCTGTTTCTCCAGTAAAACCCTGACTGGTACAGCCAGTATCTAATATGTATCTATATGTGTAATTACATATCTATATATCTATATCAAAAGTACATAGAAGAAATTGCGACAGAGAGAGAGAGAGCTGTTTTGTTTCTCTTTAGGGCCCTGAGAAATACATTCATTTATCAAAGAGCTCCATATTAAATAGGAGGGATCTAAAGAGATCGGACTGGTCTTAGAGCCAGCTTCTGTGTCATGCCTAATCTCTCCCCTTCGCATTTTTGCTTATACTAACATTGCTTTGGAGTGGGGAAAATCTACTTTTCTAAGCCTGTATGCTTCAGATTCTCAATCAGCTTTGTTTGTACGCAATAAGCAGAAAGGGTCTTTCTTAAGAAAATTGTTATCTTTCCTTCTGTACTATCATGCAAATCCGTTTAAAAGTCAATCTCTTTTTTAGTTGGCCTTACTGACTGATGCAAGAAGCAATGGGTTTCTAATATCCTGAGGTTTTCTTTTTCATGAAACCGTGGAAGGCACATGGCCTTAAACTATCTAGTAGGCCATACAGATTACCAACTGTTTTGCTAAGGTCTTTAACCTTAGATCCTGCCCTCAGCGAATAGATTTTTTGAGATCTATTACCTGCAACATTGTGGTCTGTGTTAGTCAAGGATGTTTTAAGTCAGAAAAAATGACTCAATCTGGTATAAATGATACAAGGAACTTAGCTCACACAACCAAAGCTTCAGGCAGTACAATTAGCTTCAGGCAAAGTTTGATCCAGTGGTCCCTAAAAGATCACCATAAACAGGGATGGTGAGTGTTTTAGAGCTCAAGGATTCCAACAGGCTGCTGAGGTCCAGGTGCCGTAGGTTTACCACCACTGCCATAGACCATGTTTCTTAATTTCCTCGCCTTCCAGTTTGGAAGTTTAATGATAAGACCGGTTACGTCTCTGAGGGCAAAGTTTCCATGAGAAGAGAATGTTGTTGTCCTCCTATCTCAGATTGAGCACCTGCGGTCCACCTATATTGGTCTAGCTTAGGTCAGGATTCTATCCCTTAATCCAGGGGTCCTGCTAACTGACAAAATTCACCTCATTTACTTGAGGGTTATAAAAAACAACTGAAGTTCAGTTTAGAAGTCAAAGCAGGAAGACTCTCCAAATATCTTACTTTGAAAGCTAACTTGATTAAGTAACATCTTTTTAACAAGTGTCACAAGAAACCACCAATATACAGACTAGCCTTGGATTGCTGTAAAATATTTCATGGAAGGAAAAATGCTTTTTTCTAGGGTCATGTTTAAACCAAATGTGAAATGTTTTTGCAAATCCGTATTTCCTGGTTTGATTTGAATATAGTATTTTTCTTTTGAAACTCACGTTGGAGCTTAAACCCCATTGTGAAATATTAAGTGGGCAGAAATTTAATATGACAGTTGCATTTAAAGAGGGCCCTTTGGGGCTGGGCATGGTGGCACTTCCCTGTAATCCCAGCTCTTGGGAAGCCGAACCAGGAG